TTCAGTTTAACACTTTGCGTTTCACTGTTTTATTGACTTCTGATGTGTTATGGGTGAGCCAATCGCTTCATTGAATTTTCCAAAATACAATTGTATACTTTTTCTATCCTTACATAATCTACTTCTTCAGTTTAACAAAATATCAGTTTTATTTATTTATTTGTTTGCATTTTACTGAGTCAGTCATCAAAAAATGATCATTATTAAAAATATAAAAAGTATTTAGTATAACATAAAACTTTTGTAGTAAAAAATATTTACTTGTGTATGTCAAATACCAATTTTTACTTCTGCACACGACAGAGGCTTCTAATCACAATGAAACTACAACAGGAAATGACGTGTATTTGGATGTGTTAGTGTTCATGACATAATACGATATAAGTTATGTTCATTTCTTTTGCGTGTTTTTAAAGTAATGATTATGACGGAGAAAGGTATTTCGAAAGCTTATAATTTTTAGCTAGAGTTTGGTTACATAACTTCAGTTTGTTTTTGTCCAATAGCTCATGTTAGTAGTATCCCTCTAGTCCTATAGGATGTCATTGATCAAGAACTTGTCAAGTAATCGTGCTTTTATGGACTAAGACAAAGTAAAATACACTGATTCATAAAAAAAAAACAAGTCTTCATTTAAAAATAGTGATGAAAACTTTAATCATACACCAACAACAATAATAGGAAATGATCAGATAACTACCATGATGATATAATTTAGATTTTAACGCCACAAGGTGGCAAAGGTCACCTGTGGCAAACATGATGAAACAGGTATATTCAGCAATGAGCATGGTGCTCATTAAGACAGAGCAAAATAAAATCAAAACTAGCAACAGAAGCAGCAATTAAGACACCTGACAGCGTCTAACATAAAAGTATCTACACGTAAAATAAAGATATCTAAAAAAGCAACTGCGTTAAAACTGTACCAGAGAAAAAATAATATATTTAGTTCATAAAGACTATACAATAATAAAAAGCAAAGTCAACAATAAAACCAATAACATTTGTAAAATTAAAAACAGTATGAGGATGGCTAATGCCATCATTCTCAATTAATATGTCCAGTGTATAATTAACATTACAGGAATAAATATCCCTACAAAACCACTACAATGAACATCAAAGTGATGGCAGGAAATGAGAAAGCTGGTGCCGGTCAAATGAGTTCACATTGCTCATACATTGGTTGTTTGTTTTCCAGTGAAAGAGATATATGTATCATCAACCATGTATAGAGAAGAACCTTACTAAAACAATCTCTTCCCTATGAAACCTGTGCAAATTATATGACCAATATTCCCCAATGAGTTCAATCTGAAAAAAAAAACTTGTTAGTTTGCTGCTTAAACCAAAACTTTTGCCAACCGGCATGGAGCCTCGTCTTAACAGTAAATTTAAAATCTGTGTAAGGAATGGCCAGAGGAGGTTGAGCTGGCTAAATCATCAACCAAAAAACCTCTCTTGTCCTCAAAGTGGCCAGAAATCTAACGAACTGAACAACCAATAATAGTAACAATAACTAAATCACTCTACCAAAGAATAACTAAACCAGTTTCTCGAGAAAACGAAATAAAACAGTATATAGACTAACATAAAACAATTCCAAGGTCTGCAACGAACTAACAAAGTCTGTATAGATAATGCAGTGACTGTACATCTTGGTTTCTGTGCAATCTGAGGCAAATGAGATTGTATAGAACTGCAATGAAACAGAAGTCGCAGCGGGATTTTATAAGTAACTATAGAGTCACAGAAGATCTTAGTGTGATTAACCAAATTGCATGATTTTGATCCATTCGTAAATATGAGAAGGAAGGATGAATAATACATTAACTTCTTCGAAAAAAAGAAGTTTGTATTTCCAATCATGAATATTTGATTTTTGAAGGTAAGGCTGAAACAGATTACGGATATAAATGGTAAAAACTGCATTAAAGGACCTACTACTCACTTACATAATCTGTTTGAATATGGAGGTCAAATATCATCTAAAGCAGAATCTATTCATTAGAATTCAGAGAAGATACTTCTGTACTATTAAAGACCTGGCACTGTGTAGTTTGTCTATCAGCAGGGTGGCCAGGGTAACACTGGAGCAAAAATTAATCTTGGGCTCGCGAGAATGCGATAAGAAGAAGCCAAAAGATGTAGATGCTGAGTGTTGTTCATAGGGATTCCTGCTCAGCAAGAAATGTCAAATGCGTGACAGAAAAGAAGGGAAAACAGAGAACATCCCGCATTCTAAGTGCACCTGTGGCTGATGTGAAATTGGCAGTTTCTATGGCTTTGCCATCTCTCGCTGGCTGACTAATGACCAGAAGAAGACACAAACTCAGCCCTCGAATGCCATACCAGAAGAACTTGATGCTTAGACGGTGATGCATCAATGGCATCACTACTAATCCATTTGCTTAAATGAATGTTTATAATTTATCATCTGAGAAGAATTACCATCTGTAAGAGGAGAAAGGTAGAAGCGTAATTCCATTAAATGAAGGACCTGAAGCCTTAGATAATCTGTTTACGTCCCTCAAATAAGCCCACTACAACTTGCGTCTGTAAATACTTAAATTTTGTATGTATATATATATGTATTTGTATGTGCATATGTACATAAATATATGTGTTTGTTCTCAGCTTTTCTCTACTATTCCATTTCTTTTCTTCAGCAAATAAAGTGTTTGTTTTGTATTCTGACTTCAACTTCGTTCCTTCTCTATTTTTTCACTACAAGTCACTATACCTGTCCTTCTACATAATAAAGCATTGTATGGTATTTTTAAATAAACTGATTTCCTGAAAGAGTAATTAGGTAGGTCCGCTGTATAATGGAAGATTCGGCGAGATAAATTACGAAATAATTTTGAATATGTCTGAGACTGACTGAGTTTGAGAAAGAAAAAACTTGACACAAAGTGCAAATAAAAATGAAACAATATTTATTCAAACTGACAAATTGAAATGATATGGGTATAGGATAAAAACAGTACTATATAGTTATCACTTTAAAATCTCCTAACAACTTATAAAGACGCTTATTAAGGATTAGTTAACTTTACTAATTGAACTTGAAGTATCACCTAACAACTTATAAAGACGCTTATTAAGGATTAGTTAACTTTACTAATTGAACTTGAAGTATCACTATTTAAAGAAAGGACTTAAACTTCACCTACAAAACTGATGGCTTGAGCTCGAGAAAGACAGAGAGTTAAATAAGAGATCGTGGTACTAAACACCAACTTCTATAATACTGTCTTTCTAAAATGCGAGCGCCAACTATGGCACTGTTGGACAATCTAGCTGAAACATAATGGAGGATGTAGCTTTGAGATATCATCTGACCTACCATCTTAATGCACAAGTTGTATCACTATAGCTAAACACCCATGGGCAGACCAGGTATTACCTCCAAAGGAATGAAAAAGAACACAAATATCCAGAACGAAATCAACTTAAAGACTTTCTTGACCACGTTATGCGAAAACTGCACATAACTAGAATAAAAAAAGTTTTAGTGTTCATAGATTGGCCTTAGATAAAATGTTTTTCATTGTTTACCTATTTTAACCTATTTTTACAAAACGTGACGTTTGAGTAATTCACATTGAGGGGAATGGATAATGGAGATAGCATTCATGCAAAAAACAGATGTGTGGTTAAACTTTCTTCAAACACTTTCACGGTCTATAATTAGAAAATCTCTGTGTACTAAACGGCGATTATACTATCAGAGACTGAAATTCTAGTGACAAATAGGATAGAAACGAAAGATAATGAAGACAATCTACTTAAAGTACGGCAGAACAGAATCCAGAAAAACAGGTGATCCCAACCAAAAGTCATAAACTATCATCTTTGGAGGTATATCACAGCTAACTGGTTACCTGCATCTATATTTCACGAAAGGTAAATCAATTCACTGAATGGCCTAAGGTTCCTGTTGAGATTACTTCTAGAATATCATCAGGGATGAAGCCACCAGTGGATTCCCTCGACCTATTTACCTATATAATTTGATGATACTTTGTTTCGCAGGTTTATTTAATTAATGATTGTAAAATCTATATTTGTACACTTGAAGATTAATGTTGTTAATTGTGAAGAATTGCTTTATTGTTAATCATGGAAATTTAATGCGGAAAGTGTTAAAATTCCATACCAGCACTTTACACCAGTGATTGAAATTAGGTCCAGTACCTCACAAGCTGTGATCAATGCTTCTAGCCTAGGTTTTGCAATATGCCTGTTCACAGCTGTAACTTAACTTCTAGCACAACTTAAGTATAGCCCAAATAAAAACATCCATGTTCCCCTTTCGTATTCTGTAAGCTACTCATTGCAGTCTTTACAAAATATGCATACCTCAATATTTTAAGCCACATATTCTATATAGCTTAAATATGCGTAGTTAAATATACAAAGATCAGTCCATACATAACGTGAGACACACATATGTACTCATATACATAATTATATATCTCAATGCCCCATATTAAACAATGCATAGTTCTAGTACATGTCATCACTATCTGGCAGGAAGAGTGATTTAGCCATAGCACAAATACACTAACGTCGGTTGTGCTTTTAACATGTGGTTCCAGGTGTCACTTAAAGATTTA